AAACGAACATGCTTCGGTAAAATGTTACTCGTTTCCAAAATACAGGGTGTTAAAGTTGAAAATTCAAAAATTAATATTGGCTATAATTTTAATAATACTCAGTATAATTTAACTAAATTTGGCAAACGTTTCTAGTGTCATTAGATACACCTATCAGAAAAAAATCTTTTAAATAAACTCTTTCAATGGCGTATGGCATGGGTAAGTAACATCTTCATGCATTCTAAATTTTACGCCACTGTCCAAAAACTTATTTGAAATATACTTTTAAACTTTTTGATGTTTTTTAGAGAAATTATGCATTTTTATTGGAAACTTATAAAGTGATTACATGCTTTATTTAAAAAAAAAAATAAATTGTAGTCCAAATAAGTTTTTTGGACAGTGGCGTAAAATTTATAGAGGATGAAGGTGTTACTTTCCCATGCCGTTCGCCACTGGAAAAGTTTATTTTCAACTTATTTTTTTTGCTGATAGGTGTATCTTATGACATTCAAAACGAATTTAGTAAAATTATACTAAGTAATAAACAATTATAGCCATTAGTTTTTTTGCGAATATTCAACTTTAACACCCTGTATTTCGGAAACGAGTAACATTTTACATAAGGATGTTTCATTTAATCGACTTATTTTTTATTCAGAGAATCTTCATTTGTTCTGTCCCATTCTTAATTGAACACCCTGTATATATTCTTCTGAGGTCAAAAATCTATATTGATAGTAGTAGCATGAGGGATCTACCGCGGTTCGAAATCGTGTACAAAAATTCTAACAATTCCAAAAAAATTCCAACAATTCCGACGAAAATTCTAACAATTCCAACAATTTCAATAAAAAATCCATCAATTCCAATTATACGTTTCATTTTTTGCCTTCTATCTATCTGAATTAGGGCGTGGTTCAAAGCCCACTCGTACTGAAGCTCTAGGCTTATTGTACCCCTCTCAGTGTCTATCCCATCAGATTGATTTTCTTGCTGAATTCAAGAATATGTCTGATGAGCGCTTTCGCGATTTCTTCCGGTTCCGGATATTGTACTCTAAAGTACCATTCCCGTTCCCATTTAAGGTTCCGACAGTGGCATAGTAGGTGGATAGGAGTTTCGTCTTCCTCTTCACATATTCTACATAGGGAGTCATCAGAGATTTAGGTGTCTTCTAAGGCCGTAGTGTCCCGTAAGGCGTCCTATTACGGCCTTGAGTTCGCTTCTGCTAAGGTTAAGCAGTTGATTTTATCTGCTCGTAGATGACCACTCTATTAATCTTTTGGACTGACTAAGTCCAGGAAATTCCAACCAGAGCCGGTGTTCTCTATTTGTTTGTTCCTTTACCACCCATTTAACATGTTGGGATGAGATACCACATGGTGTTTTTCCGCTTCCTTCCTTGCTTCCAAAAACTTCCTCATGTTCCGGCACCCATTCAAGGGTAACCTTGTTATGTTCTGCCAGGGCCTGGAGGGACAGTTGGCAATCCAGTATTGATTTAGATTGTACTTCTACCCTTTCAAGTGCTTTAAGGGCTGCCTGACTGTCATAATAAAGACCCTCTTATCTCTAATAGTCATTTAGCGCAGGCATTTATTGCTGTTACTTCAGCCTGGAAGACTGTTGTCAGTGACCCCATGTTCAGACTAATGGTCCTCCCTGAGTTCACATGGTAGATCCCAGCTCCTGTGCTGTTTTTCATTTTCGAACCGCCTGTTTTCCCGGCTTTTGGCCCTTTCTGCTATTTCCTGAGGTCGTGAATAATGGGCGTTCTATAAGATGGCATTCTTAATACCGGGTTTTATTTTAATTTCTCTAATATCATTGTGTGGTATCCTTTTCTCGAAAGTTCTTATCCAAATCCATTAGTAAATAGCCGCCGTATCCTCCTTCTCCACCACAAGGTGTAGTAGACGAAGACCTAGCAGTAGCTCGATTGCTGCTGTGGGCGTAGTTCTAAATGCCCCTATTAATATTATTATTATTAGACAGGCTAGTCTTTGTACCTTGTCTAATTTTTTGTTAGTTGTTATGCTTTTAGTCTTGTGCCACCATATGACTGATAATTTATACCGGTACTACAACCATAGTGTAAAGCCAGTGCATCATACTTGGTTTAAGTCCCCATATGTTCCCTACCATCCGTCTACAGGCTCATAGTATTATTCTTACAGCTTTTTCTGTTGTTTTTTCTATATGGCTGCATCAAGAGTGATTCCAAGATATTTAACCTCTTTTGCCATTTTTTGATGTTGCCCTCACATACAGAATGGCCCAAAAGTCTGGAAACGGCCAATTATCTCGTAAATTGCTAGTCCTAATTATACAAAATTTGGGGTACACCTATTTTGGGATACGGTTTTTCCAGATTTGATATTTGCAATGTTGCCAGATTTGCCATTTCTCTTAAATTATTAGTCACTTTGGTTTTTCAAATTCATCACCCTGTATATTCAGTCATTATTGGAATCTCCTATTCAATACGAGTTCAACCATATGTAACACTTATGCTTTTATGTAGTCTGGAAGGTCTTAAATAATATCGTAAAGGATATGGTCTCATTTTCTTGTTCGCACCCTCTGCAAAGTGCAGATTCTGACAGCCCCATGATATGGAGATGCTTCCGTACTTGGCAATGACCAGTCCGAATGCCTGTGACTAGGTACAGATCCTGTCTAGTTATAGTCAAATATTTGTTTGCTGCAGTGTTGTCAGGACAACTCAAGAGCTCCCTGGCAACTTTGCAGTTTCTTGTTTCATCCCATCTTTTCTTGAGTTTCACAAGGGACTGTTCTTTAATTAGGTCTGTCACTACCGATTTTGTCAGGCCAATAGAAGGGCCGGGTCCAAAAAGTATTTGGTTGGCTGCTTTCTTGGCTAGTGAAGCAGCAAGAAGGTTAGCTTTCGATGTGGGTGACCTTTGATCCATCTTAAGCTGACCACATTGTTGATAGATACTTTGGCCAAAGCTTCGTGATATTCTAGTACTAAACCTGAGTAAATTCGTGGTATGTTCAGGGTGATTAGTGCTTGTCTGCTATTTGTATAGATGAGCATGTTCCTTCCAGTGATAGTGTTTCTGGTGATTTCTTTTGCTGCTATGAGAATCCCCGTTAGCTCTGTTTGAACTACTCGTACACTGGCACTATTGCTCACAGCCCATTTTATATTTACGTTTAAGAATCTGGAGTATTTTCCACATCCTGAGCCTTATTTTGTTTTAGAACCATCGGTGTAGATATGAATCGTACCTTCCACTTCCGGCTTTTCTATTTGTTCTGTTGTAACTTTATATGACTTATGGAAGATATATCTCGGTGAGATGGAGTCCATGTTCGCTTGAAGCAGTGGGAGCGTATCCAGTGCCTCCTGCCAAAAGCGACGTCTCGCCTCACCAGATCTTACATCAGGTTCTATTCCAACCATGCGGAGGCGTGTCATTGTCGTCAGAGCAACCTCCTTGGTGTAAATATCAAGGGGAGTGAGACTAAGAATGACCCCAGATGCGCCCCACGGTTCGGCGGCATTGTTCATAAGCAATGTATGCTCTTTTGACTCTGTTTTCTAAATGCGAGTTCCATAATAACTTGCTGTCAAAGGTGACACCTAGGCACTTCACCTCTGTTACAAAGTTTAGTTTTGCGTTTAGGAGGTTCTGGAGGTTTTAATTCCATTTTCATCCTTTTCCTTGTGAAAAGGACCATTTCTATCTTCTAAGGATTGATAGGCAGTGAATGGTCCTTGCACCACTGTTCTATAATTTTTAGAGCTACTTGAATTCTTTCGCAGAGTATGTTCTCAAAATTCCCTGTTTGCAGAATGACCAGCTCATCTACATATGCTATTGTGTAGTATGACTGCCATTATTGAGGCTGTTGATAAGGGTGTTGAGGACCATGTTCCACAGTAGAGGTGATAGCGCCCCTCCCCGTGGACACCCCCTTGCAACCAAGCCTCTTATATTCACTTCTACACTTATGTTTACTGCTCGCTTTGAGAGCATATTATGTATCCACCCACTAACCATCTGTGGAACATTTCTCTTGGTTATTGAGTGTATTATCTTTGGGAAGGTGATTTTATCAAAAGCACCTTCTATGTCTATGAAAACACCCAAGGTGGACTCCTTATTGTCCAGCGATATCTCTATCCGGCCAGTAACTAGATGAAGGACTGAATCAGTAGATCTGCCTGGGGTGTATGCATGTTGGTTTGAGTGCAGTGTTGTTGTAATCACCACATCCCTTATGTACCTTTTGCATAGCCTTTCCAATGTCTTCATGGAAAACGATGTCAGACAAATTGGTCGGTATGTTTTTGGGACAGTGTAATCCATCTTTCCAGGTTTGGGTATGAATACCACTTTTACCTCTTTCCATTTTTTGGGGATATACATCAGAGCCAACGAGGATCTGAATATACCCACTAGGTGAGGTGTAAGTTCTTCCAAGAACCTAGTGTAACAATAATATTTTTAGAAATAATTATTTATCACGTTACTTGTTAAATTTTTTAAATAAAAAAATACTTTTAAGTACAGCTGTGGTATCTTTGCATAACATTACGACACTATTCATACAATGGTATTATAAAAGAGAAAGTTTTCTTTTTTTTGGTTGCAAAAATGTTCTTAGAACTATTCTATAATAATAATCTGTAATACTTATAGAATCTTTTATAGGATGAAAGTATTCTAAAAACAGCACCCATTTTCGCTGTATAATTGTATTATTATTTTTTTTATAAATAAAAAGAAATTATCCTTAGTGTTCATAGAACAAAACTTATTCTATAATATTTGCTATGTAAACTTTCTTAAAGCAATTATAATACTCAAGTGTTACTTGGGGTCAAAGGAAGCATCTATAGACAAAATTATATTATTATATCCCACCTAATGTTTATAAATATGTATTAACGACTAAATTATCGTTAAATACGGGGGCAGAAATGTCAGATTTTAATTTGTTGTACCCTATTCACAGCATTCCTCTTTTTACTCGCATTTAAGGTTGACCCCTCCGCCAGGCTCCAAAATCGAACTACCCTCGATCAGTCTCGGCGAGTACTTCACCAGGCAAAGCATCTGCTTCAATTCACACGAAACGCGCTTGGGCCTTTCCGGCTACAACTCGTACTGCAACTACAGCATTTACAAAATGCTCAGTAATCGCTCGAAAAAGGGCGCCAGACCTAGAGCAGACAGCGTCAGCGATAAATCTGAGAAATCTCCGCAAAAGACAGTAGAAGAAAACTGCGATACCACGGAAACCGAACCTGCCGGCGAAGCAAGCAATAAAGATAATGCTGGAGTTAGTAAGGAGAGTGGTAGTAATGTTAAAGAGGTTGTAGCAAATGGGAAGGGCACGGCTGCAAAGCATGGAGGTGAAAATTCCGGTGCAGCGGCGGCTAAAAAGCAGGAGGACGTTAAAGTTAATGGTGCTGCTCAGAATGTGATATTGGAAGCTGAGAAACAGGTAAGCTGGTGATTGATTTCTTTGATTGGAGTTTAAACTGGTATATTATAAAATAAACATATAAATAGGGACATGTAAAATTTATCAACTTAAGAAAGAAACCAAATATATTGGTTAAATTTAAAATAGGACTTTTTCAATCTCAGTTTAAATTCCTTCTTGGTTTTTAAATAACCTTTTTTACTCATATATACTCATATATATTTTGTTAGTAAAATGGACTCTGCATTAAATTTATCTTTTTACCTTCTTTGATATACTAATAATGCATTTTAGTAAATATTCCTAATTTTTAATGAGTTTTGTACGCCATTATTAAATTTATTTTTAATTATGATCCTTAAAATATTTGCATTATAAAGAAAGTATTATTAAAAGAAAAGAACAATTATTTAACTTTTTTTCTTCTGCTTTTTAACACTTATAAAATATTTTTAGAGCAGTGATATAAATGTTCCTAAAATTTATTTACAGAGCTGTACGATAATAATATCACTATACAATATTTTTTAGCAGTACTTAAATGCGTACATAAATTTTTTGTGTAAATAAGAGAGTTTTATAATCATCCCATAAAATTCCTGTATAATAGTTGTATAGTTTTGTTATAGAATTTCTATAGAATCAAAATGTATAAAATGAGGCAATTTTTGGCTGTGTTGGTATTACCATTTCATTTAGATAGCCTAGTAGAACAACCTTATGAACGTTCAATAAGAGGTAATGGTGTCGCGACATCTATTAGAACAAGTACAGAACTTCATCAAAATGGCCTGTGCGCTGGTGCTCCCACAATCTTTGAGTACAGAAATTTATATACATAGTTTTCTTTATTTTAAAATTCATTTGGATAGATTGCCAAATTTTTCTTTAAAATTCTGATAAATCGTAAATAAATGTACATCAAAAGTAATAAAACTCGTATTGTAGCGTTTTAAAATAATTACTTTACATTAAACTTCTTTTATTCATACTTTTAAGGTAATTTCAATATAAGTTAGCCCTACTGCTTATGCAACATTCATTACTGATGAAAATTTTGATAAAAATCGAATCATCGTTGATCGAGGAACGTCAATATCTGACCAGATCAGGGAGAAGCCAAGGCCTTTTTTTGGGTCTTGGAGAATTACGTTGGTTAGCGTAAGATACCAATTTGGGGTTGCGATTTTGGTTAAATATCCTCGAGGATTAGCTGTAAACCTAAGTCAACTTGGAAGCTGAGGAGACTTGGATAGCCGTGCTATCAGTTCCGAACCGTCCCTCATCCATGTACTTGGTGCTATAGTCAACCCCGAGAAGCTGAGGAAACTTAAGGTGCTGCAAATTCAGATTCGTCCCTGTCCTTGGCGCGACAGTCATCGGCCAACTTGAATCTCCAGAAGCGAGTCAAACCGACAAGCTAAGGCGACCTACATGTCTCCGTCCATTTGTGGACTTTCACAGATAAGCTCCTAATATTTATTTAATCAGTTATTTTTTTGTAATCAGTCAGTTCAGACAACGTTTTTAAATGCACATTTAAAGTAAATGAGTCTACCTACATAAAATTAATTTTAGTTGTTGTGTCAATTGGCCCATCCAAACAAATAAATTCGCTTTGTATTTAGGTAGGTAGCGATATAGTCAAGACTCTCATTTTCCTGTTCTCATTTTATTTTTTTTTAAATTGTTGTTTTATAAATGTTAAATTATTGAGTTTTTATTTAGACAAAAACGTAAAGACCTATCAAAATTTTATATATTTGTACAGAGGATACCTAGTTCATAGAACTCCTAGGCTTCTCTGGATTCTAGGTCTGAACTTCATATACTATAGAATCCAGTGGCGCCTTGTAACCAATTTTTCTAAATTTAATCCTAACTATTTTTCTTCATTCAAACTTAAGTTTTCACTCATTTTATTATCTAACTTCGAACCTGCGACGCTCTCCGACGAACAGCTCCGGCATATGTAGTTTTAATGCTACAGTATATATCACTTTTAAAACAAATATGAGGGCTTTTTTTTTAACCTAAGATCGCATAGTATGAAGGCCGAGCATGCGGCAGGTATCTGCCATGCGTAGTAGGCGACTGCGCCTCTTCCCTTCTACACTCTGTCACTGCCGAGTCCAACACGCCATTTCTTGTTGAGCTGCAGTCAGGTAAACATGGTTGTCTCTTGATTCTCCCGCCAAATATGAATTTGCGAAGTGGTATTCGTTTCTTGCAAGCAGAATGGAATAGTGCAGCGGAAATTCATTGAAGAATGAATTGAGTGTATGGAGAGAGAATATATTATATTTAATTAGGACTATGGGTCATGTGGCCTCCCCCACCTCGACCTTTTTATATCCATTGTGATATCCTTTAATCATTGTTTAGAGTATCTTGTCTAATTCGGTCTTTTGTAGTAGACTCCATAGACTGGGAAGTAGTTCTCCCGTATAGCTAGTTTTCCTTGGTTTTTCTTCTCCAAGTATAAGGAATCTCAGTCTTGCTAGACCTTCGCAGTAGCATTATACGTGTTCTGCAGTTTCCTCACCTTTTTGACAGAATCGGCACAAGGTCTCTTCTGTCAGACCGATATTGTACATATATTTGGTAAACCTACAATGCCCTGTTAATAAACCTACTAGTACTCTAGTATTTTTCCTATTAAGGCTTAGTAGATGCTCGGTGAGTAGGCGATGGTCCTTCTAAGAACTCTTTGGCCTGTATCTGTCCTGGTGAGTTTTCCACCACTCCTGAGATTTTTTAAACATCCACTGCTTTGTGCATGTTCTGACAGTTGTTTTTGTTACACCACAGAAGGGTTCTGGGCCAATAAGAACATTTGAGGCTCCCTTCTCGGGCTAGTAAATCAGCCTCTTCATTGCTCTTATGTCCTCTGTGGCCTGGTACCCAGGCTAAGGTTAGTCTGTTTTGACTACCCAGCTCTGTTAGGGCTTCCAAACAGTCCCACACAAGTTTTGAGTGTACCTGCATGGAACTGAGTGCTTTTAACGTCGCTTGACTATCTGAATATGACAATGGTTTTTCCATTTACCTTCTGTCTTAATACTTCTTTTGCGTAGTGGTGTATTGCTGCTATTTCTGCCTGGAATACTGTCGCATGTTTACCTAAGCTCAGTGAGATTCTTGTCTTTGGCTTGGAGAGAGCTTACGGAGAGCTAAACCTAGCGCCGAGTGACTACCATCTTTTCCCTGAACTGATGAAGTGGCTTGGGGAGAAGATCTTCCAAACTGACGAGGAACTCAAAGAAACCATCACAACTCACTTCAAGTCACTGGCGGCAACTTTTTATGAAGAAGGGTATTGCAAACCTTGTTCACAGATATGACAAATGCCTTAATCGTCAAGGTGATTATGTAGAGAAGTAACCTATAATGTACATTACTTTTGGTAATAAAATAATTTGTTATATTAACCCGTCTTTCCTTTATAGCCTATTGGAAGTTGAAAAAAAAAAACAGCCCTCGTTTTCTGTTCATACTTAATCGACTATCGGTTCATGTATTATTAAATAGAGAAATTACGTTCGTTATTAAGTTTCGACAACTGTTCGATGGTTCAGTAGAAAATGACAAAATTATCAAAAACATGATTTAGACACATGATGGAGCTTGTTGCCATCTATTGCTACTGTCTATTGTCATCTAAGATAATTTGCATTGAGATTGTTCTACTAGGTTATCTAAATAAAATGGTATTACATAGGAGTTTTTTAATGCATTATAGGATTTAAATGGAACTAACAACCTTTATAGTACTTTTTTCTTGTTGGGTGTGAATTAAACGGGTTTACAACTCTTTTACAAATAACGTTGCTTCTTACACGTAAAATATCTTCCGATAATGAAGGACAGATATTATTATGAGATAACATATATTGAACTACTAATGTTAAGAACACCGTAAACTTGGCATCAATGTTCAATCATAATATATCATTTCTGCCTTTGTTATATATCTATGGATTACTGCTACTGCACTTTTAGGAACGTATAAATGCAATAAGACGAGGCTGGACCGCGAAAGAGAGTGAATGCATAACCCTAGGCGAAGCTTACCTGATGTTCGGCCACAATTCCACCCTCGTATTGGAATACAGCTGGGATCCACAGAACATACCTCCTCCGAAGAGTGAAATCACAGACATCATTAAGACAGAACCCGAATCTGAACCTGTCATCCCACCACCAGCATTGGATTTGAGCGAACCTTTATCGAAATTGTTGTCGGTGGCGAAGCTCCACTACAGAAAGAACATAATCAAATGTCCATGCGGGCACGTATGCGGTAATAAAACAAACGCGCAACTGAAGAAAGACGTTGAAACGAAGATCAGGAAGATTTTGACGGACATCGACAAGTGTACCGACGAAAACGAGGAAAAAGTCACCACCGTGTTCCATAACGGCGATAACGGTGGTACTTTCATAACGCCTCCCGTATATTTGCCGCCTAAGATACCGATCAATCCGTATTTTCAAGCTAACACTATGCAATTGGCATCTCAGATAGCGTCTATTCAAAGATTGACTCCGAGGTATTGCAACAGGAAAGGTTAGTACTACTCTATTATTAGTTTCAGAAAAAAAATTAATTTTCTTTTTTTATTGATGATTGAAAGTCTATTTTTGAATTTTGAGATGGTAGTTAGATTTTTTGCGGACACAATTATCTACAACTTTTTTCCGAGTTTAAATTAATTTTGCAGGCCCAATTTTCTTCCCGTCTTACTCTTTTCCTTGTCCTTTGAACCAAAACTTCACCTTTTTCCTCTCTTCCACTTTCATCTGAATCACCACTCGATGGCCGATAATCCAATTCTTCATATGTTTTATAGGGATCAGAATTGTCTGAAGTTATCTAAAATAAATGAAGATTATACTGTCAAGATCCACAGACCAATGACATATCTACCCTCAAAAATGTACATGGTCGTTTTTCATTTTTGCAACCTATGTTCTCAAATACAAAAAAAATACCAAATATAGCAGCTGTAGTATTTTTCCTATTCTAAGCTTATTAAAATATCTTATAATAAACCGTTCTGGACGGATACAATAATACATAAAAAACAACCACGTACATTAAAAAAATTCTTTTTGCGCTAAAATCAAACATAACCTATTTCGTAAATTAATATGACCTAATTCTGAATAAAAATTAGCGAAAAATGGCCTAAAATATTAATTTAATTAGAAAAAAATACCTACCTCGTTTTACCATAGTAAATACACTTCCAGTTTATAATAACGCTATTTTATACGAACAAACAATGCACGTTTAACCTAACACTCATGAACTAACTAATAACTAAGAGTAGTTTTGACAAATATTACAACCCACAATGCATCAGAGCGGGAAACAACACAGGAGGTGTAGAATTGGAAGGGAAGAGACGCTTGCTGTGTTGCAATAAAACTATTCTAAATCAACATAATAGTGGCCTAACCCAAGAGGCCACTATAGTATTGAGAGAAATAAAAAGAAACTATATAATAAAGTGGAATTTGTGGCTCCAACTATGAAACGGCTATTTAGTTGCGGTTAGGCCAGTCTTCTACCGAAACTTTGAATAATAAGCTATTACTTTATGGATAAAAATAAATATTGAAATTTTGAGGGTTAGGCCACTATAATTCTCAACGCCTCAAATTATAAATTAAAATTATGTTTAAAACCTTTAACTTAAGTTCACATGATTTAGTAATTATTTCTGAGCTATATTAGTAGGATGTCTTTAACTTATTTAAAATAAAAATTGACTATTTTTCTTCGTCTTTTTTGAGCTCAAATAAAAATTAATAATTTTGTTTTTTTTGACCCACTAAGATACAAATCTAAAATGTATATATATTTACAATAAAAATAAATTGTCATCTCTAAGCCTTTAATCAATCTATAAATTCAAATTGTTTTCAGACTCCAAAAAAAATCGGCAAAAATTTTAATAAGTATATGAAAACGAAAACTTTATACATAAAAATTTGTACTGTCCTTTTTTTAGAATTAAATACCATCAACTTATCAGAATATTGATAGTTGTATAACATTCAACGTTTTTTATTAGTAATTTCTTTTTAAACTTCTTGTCTGCGCTAAAATTAAAATTGTGAATTTTTTCTGAACTGAATGTTTTTTCATCCACTATTATACTAAAATATTTTAACGTTAGCAATAAAATGTCACTTAAAGCGTTTAATTTGATTCACTGGGATTCAAATAAAAAAATTATGTATTTTAGGAAACAAAATGTCACCTTTAAAGCCTTTAATCAACCCACAAATATCCTTAAAGAAATTAGGACAAAAACATTTAAAAAATGTCTTACATAATATATGAAAATAAAAACTTAATACTTCTGGGAGATTAAATACTTTATTTCTGAGTTAAACTAAAAACTATTTTTTTCTGTTCCAAATTTAAAATTTATATATTTTAACGTTGAAAATAAAATTTCACTTTTAAAGCCTTTAATCGAACCACAAATTCATTTTTTTTCTCACCCTAAAAAAATCAGGACATAAACATTTTAAAAATTTAATATATGAAAATGAAAACTTAGTACTTCTAGTGTAGTTACAAATTTTTTGGGCTAAAATAAAAATAATGTTTTTTCTGATCTACTAGGATACAAATGTAAAGTTAAAACTTACTACTTCTGGAGTAGTTATGAATATTACTTTTTCGGAGATTAAATACTTTTCTGAACTAGCTACTGTTAAGAATTGAATATAAATATTTACTTTATTTTTTACAATTATATTTTGGACTTAATATACATATAAGAAAATGATGTTTTCTTATCTCAGTTCACTTTTTAGCATTTTTTCTGAGACGATGTAAAACGTAAAATAATGATATTTGTACATCTATAATGAACCCGTACCTAATTTACTTTTATTGTACATTTTTCTGAGCTCAAAACTAAAATTCGCATATTTCAGGTCGTCGGCCGCGTTCCAAACAAGTCGTGGTAGAAAGACAGCTCCCTCTTCTTCCCAACAATATTGAAAGCGGACACCAAATTGTACGAATGAACATCATCTCGAAAGAAGACTCAAATCCCCCTCATACCGTATCAGAAACCCCACCTTATTCAAAACCAATCACCATCAATACTAACATTTTCATTCCCTCCACATCCTCGGATTCGATTATAAAGCCCTTTGAAGTCCTCGATGAAACGCTCAAAGGGACTATCGACTTTGAGCCATCCAGTCCTTCCAGAATTCTAAAAGAAGGCGAACAATGGATCAACTCAGAAGTGGGAGACTACTCTCTGAGCAGTCTTTTGGGCCATCTAGAGTCTCCCGTAAAATCGGAAACGAATATATTGAACGACGACTCCAGAATGTCTCAGGACGTCGACGCTCAGCTCAGATCGATGCTGACTCAAAACAGCGTCGATTTTTCGTCTAATTTTGCCGAACTGGCGGCCCAAGTGGCTCGGGACAAACGCAACGACATTGGTTGAACAAGCTCAGAAAAATATTTTTTCGGATGATTTTTTTCTGAGGTTAATCCAGTTTTTTTGGACGTTCTTTCTTGTCGAATCCAATTGTTTTGGTTATGCGATCACAATGGAATAAAATGGCTTTTGTTTCTGGTGAAAATATAAATTTCAACGGATACTGCCCTAAATATAATCGAAATTAGTTTTTCAAATTATAATGAAAAAATATATATGAATGTTTTAGAATTTCTTGTTAAAATTCCGCTAAAGTTGAGAATAGTATACAATGTCTGAACATGTTAGTTGAATTGCGAATTGGTGGTGCCAATGCGCAGCTAATGCGGTAGAGGATTTGTTAATCATTATTATCAACAAAAATTACAGTATGGTCTCTTATTGATACCCTTTTCAACAACTGATACCTGACTGGATGCCGTTTTCAATAGGTACCTCTTTTTTTCTTTAGATTCCCGTTGGTATCTTTCTAGATCAAAATCTACATGGATTTTAGTTATATGTTGAATTTTGATGTCCCTTTTAGAACCGTCAGTTACGTCTTTGTTAAAATACCTAATACCCTTCTCAAAATTGAACCAAAGTCAACAAAAAATACAATGTTTGTTCTTGATACCCTTTTCAACAACAGATATATCATCCGACTGGATTTTTTTTTTTTTTTTAATAGATGCGTGTTTTTTTCTAGATTCTCATTTGAATCAATTTCAGAATGTACCTACTTGTAAATTTCGATTTTGATACCTTCTTCCACTCCTTTAGATACGTCCTTGACAATACTTGATACTCTTATCAAATGTCAACTAAAAGTCACTATATTTGTTCTTTATACCCTTTTCATCAACTGAGATATCACCCAACTGGATGTTAATTTCAAATTTCAATAGCGGTCTGTTTTCCTTCACCTTATATCTTTCTATCTCAAATGTACTTGGTTTTAATATATTTTTTGATACCCTTTTCAATCCCTTTAGATACATCCTTGACAATACCTGATACCCTTCTCAAAATTGAACCATTTTTGAGACATACTGTATTAAATAGTAGATCATTTATATCGATAACTTTTCATTATTTCCATATTTTTTAAGAATATTTATTTTTTAGTTTAAACGCTTATTTCTTTCCATTTTGGTGATAATTTTTTATTTTATATTTTAGTATTTGTGTATTACTCATGTTGTCTGTGTTTAACAAAATTTTTTTTTTTTTCGTTGTTCTATTGAAATGCTTTTCTAATAAAGAAAGTGTGATAAAAATTTTCATATTATGATGACAAATTGTTTTTTTTAAGATATTTAAATAAATTTCCTTTTGAAAGTTGGTTTTCGTTTTAATTTATTTTTTCTCTGCGCTCTCCTTTCCACTTAAAATCGGTTTAAAATTACAATTTACAATGATTTAAATAAATATTTCATTTAAGATTTAATATCTATTCAATGCCCTTCTCAATGACTGGTCATTTTATAAAAAGCGGTTCATTCTTCATAAAAAATCTAAGAAGGGTTCATGGAGAATATTCTGTCAGGAAATTGAAAATACAACTGAAGGGTGCAGACTCCTCCTCATTCTAGCAAAAGATCCAATAAACCCTGTGGGGACTTTAAAAACCCAAACAGGGGAATACACTATAACTGGAATGGAAACATTGGAACTACTTCTTAAAACTCATTTCCCTGATTGCACGACGAACCCGAATGCAGCAAACCAAACCCTCACAAACTGGAACTCTCAAAAAGTCTCCAGCCAAGAGTGGGAAACTGCAAAATGGGTAGTCACAACAGAGAAAGTAACATGGGCAATACGAGCTTCCAATCCATACAAATCACCGGAACCAAATGGCTGTGCTTCTGCAACAGACAATAGAACACTGGCCCCGCATATTTGTAGGCTCTGCAGGGCAAGTTTGGTGCATAAACATGTACCAAATACCTGGAAACAAAACAGAATGGTTTTTATACCTAAACCAGAGCGTCCAACATATGCCGTGACAAAGGCCTACAGACCAATAACTCTGTGGTGTCATTTCTGTTGAAAGGATTGGAAAAACTGACTGATCAGCATGTCCGGCAAACCACGCTGACAGAGAGGCCGCATTTCGTACAAACCAACATGCCTAACAATCAGGAAAATCTTGTGCTCTGCATAATCTTGTAACCAAGATAGAGGGGGACTAAGTATCCAAGAAATAGTCCTAGGAGCATTTCTTGACATAGAAGGAGCTTTTGATAATACCTCCTTTAAATCAATGGTAGCTGCCGCTCGCATAAATGGAATAGAAGACACCCCATCTGCTGGTGGATAGAAGACATGTTACGCGGGTGGCAAGTACAGGCACAAATGTTCAGTGAAACCATGCAGGTGAATATCCACAGGGGATGCCCACAGAGTGTCCTTTCTCCTCTACTGTGGAACCTAGTGGCAAATGAACTGCTGAAAACACTGAACAATCAAGGGCTGTACGCCCAAGGATACGCCGATGACATAGTCATCCTTATCAGTTTCCCAAACCACAGTCTTCGAAATCATGCAAAGAGCTATAAGGCTGACAGAAATGTGGTGTGTTAGGGAAAACCTCTTGGTGAACCCTGACAATGCATAACTCATAACCTTTACTCGGAAAACAAGGTTGGAGGTTTTAGAAACTCCGACTCTGTTTGGAGGAAGTCTAAACAAACGAAACAAGTAAAATATCTGGATCTAATCCTAGATAGCAAACTTACTTGGAACCAACACTTAAAAAGTGACCAACATTTGGAAAAACATGGGGATTAAAACCGAAAATAGTCCACTGGGTATATTTTTATTTAATACCTTTAATATTTGCATTTTTAATACTTTTCTTAATATTCTTAAAATTCGCTTTCCATATTGCTTTTATTTAACTTTTTAGAGAATTTGGTACCTCTAACATATTTCTCCTTATTTCTGATACCTACCCGTCTCAGCATTCTTACAATTCTCTTTACATTGTTTTACTCTTGACCTTTCAGACTATTTGATACCATTCTTAAAATTCCCTTTCCATTGTTTTCTTCTTGACCTTCCTGAGACTTTCTGATACCGTTCTCAACATTCCTAAAAGTTAATTTTTTATTATTATTTGATATCCTTAAAATTCGTATTTCTGATACCCTTCTCAACATTCTTAAAATTCCCTTTTCATCGTTTTCTTTTTGATCTTTCAGACTATTTGATACCGTTCTCAAATTTACCTTTTTCGTTATTTTCATCTTTGCCTTTTAGAGATTATTTTTTTAATACCCTTAATATTCGCATTTTTTTGGTACCCTTCTCAACATTCTTAGAATTCGCTTTCCATTGTTTTCCTTTTAACTTTTTAGAGAATTTGATACCTTTAACATATTTCTCCTTATATTTGATACCCGTCACAGCGTTCTTAAAATTCTCATTTCATTGTTTTTCTCTTGACCTGTCAGACTATTTGTTATCATTTTCAAAATTTACTTTTTCGTTGTTTTTCTCTTGGCCTTTTAGAGATTATTTAATGCCTTAATATTCGCATTTCTAATACCCTTCTCGACATTCGTTAAAATTCGCTTTCCATTGTTTTCCTTTTAACTTTTTAGAGACTTTGATACCCTTAACATATTTCTTTTTATTTCTGATACCCTTCTCAGCATTCTTAAAATTCCCTTTTCATTGTTTTCCTTTTGACCTTTTGGACTATTTATTTGATACTATTTTCGTCTTTCTTAAAGTTTCCTTTTTCAATGTTTTCGTATTTCTGATATCTTTCTCAACATTCTTAAAAATTTTCTTTTTATTGCTTTTCTCTCTACATTCAATATAATACTACCAGTACTGAGAATGATTTTGAATAGGTATCAAATCTCTGAGATTAAAAAGATCCATCACAAAGTAACTAATATCTAGTCGTTTTAACACCCTCGTTAATATATTCATACTTTTAATGCCCACTATACCTATTGGTATACGAAGTATATTGATTGATAAGCAACTAAATACACTGATAATTTACTTTGAAAATACCATTTATTCATGAACATGTCCTACTTCTAACAGAGTTATAACAAACATGATACCAAAACCTATCACTATAGAAAAATATTGCAGTAGACCTCTCTTCTTCTCTCCCTGTAGGATTTCGAAAAATACGACGTAAACAAGCGTCCCAGACGCCAAACCTTGTAGTATCACTCCAACGAAAGTGGTACTGTGATTATAGGTGCACACCAATATTCCCACTCCTATGCCTATTGGACTGACTATAGAGAAAATAAACACGTAAATAATTATGAGATAGGATTTGAGATCAGAAGTAACCAGTTCTATTCCTATACAAAACGCTATGACTTGCTTATGAGCGTTGATGGCACCGAACATGTACCACACAGTGTTGCTAGACGATTCTAACCCTACAGCTAAACCTTCGAACAGCTCGTGTATCGACAGCGCTAGTATAATCACCAATCCCCGCACGACCGCTGTGGTATTCCCAGAATCGAAATGAACCGTATGGGAATGACCTTCGTGTTGGTGCGCTTGTACCTCTTGCTCCTCCAATTTCAACAGCGTTTCCAGAGGTTCGCCCCTTCGAATCAGCAAGCTCCTTCTCAGTAATCTCATATGCTTTTCCTTGTAGTGCAAATAGCTATGCACGCATTCTTCTATCAAGTACATAGCAAAGAAGCCTAAGCATAGCAGGATTTCGGCAAAACGGCTTTTGACATATGGGTAGACGTGTAAGCTTTGAAATTTTAATTGAACTTCGGGAAGGAGATGTATGAAGGTCGTGCAGAGTAATACCCCGCCACCAATGCCTAGTAAAAACTTTACCAGCACGCTGTGTTTGGCTTCGTTGGTCCATTGGAACCACTGGTTCAGTTTGATTGGTATGGTGCCTAGGAGAAAGGAAACTATGAAGAGAACAATCATTGCCGTTATCTTGGCTACGGTGGTGTTTTCCCTATAACACGAGGAGTCTTCATTATGAACCTGAGTGATGTTCTGCCAAGGTATTCTTGATAAGTCGTTTTGCTGAAAAGAAAACCAAAGTTGAACAATTTTACTGTAACCCACATAGCACACGGACGTCAGGGTCCCTAGATTACGAAAAACATGTTTCCCCATTCCGTCGGTCTGTCTGTCGTCTATGTCTGTTGGCGCGATAGCTGAAAAATAGTGTTATAGAAAAACCTCAAATTTTGTATGTAGATAAGGTTTCTTTCTGGCTCAAAACCAGTTATACTTCTGATCAGGACAGGGATTCTTATGTGCGTACTCAACACGTAACGAATTGAATAGAGGGAGACATTACATACGAATTAATTGCATTCTGTGGAACGAAGATAGTCGTCTCAACACGTGCTGAATTGAAAGATGAGAATCCCAATGCAGTTATATACAGGGTGAGCAGTTTTTAAAATTAAAATTATTTTTAAAAGTAGGCAGATTTCGACTAAAATTGGTATACGAGAAATTTAAAAGTCAAGGATAACAGATCCTAAATAATTTTTTAAAAATTTAAAATGACCCTGGAAGGAATCGTATTCAATCAAAAAAAGTCCCCCTTGAATGAAAATAGTAAAAATCCTTTTGTTTGTGTATGTGGACCATTTTAAAAGAAGCCAGTCATTATTAATCAATAACGGTGAACGTGACGAAGAAAACCGAGTGAACGTGAAGTGAGAATTTGGGTGGGATCAAGAAGAAGATCGATGGAGAGAGAAATGTAAAAAAGGGTTTTTGGTATGGTGATTTAATTATTAAAATTTAAGTGCTTAGGAGTTCCCTGTTTTTACAATTTCTATATCGAGGGGAGTTCTGGGTAAAATACTTTACCGATTTTTTTACCAAGGACAAAAACCAACGGAGTCCAAAAATGAAAAAATGAGATAAGCATTTCAATACATTCTTTCCGCCATGTATTTTATTATGGGAAATCAACAAGGGGAACAACAAACGGAGGCATGAGATATTAAAGGTTATAAATATATACTGCAGAGGAAAAACTAACATAAAGGTATTTTTCGCAACATAACCCAACATGAACGTTTATGATAGATTATGTTATTTAAACCAATCAGACATGTCTGAATAACATAATCTATCATAAACGTTCATGTTGGTTTATGCCACGAAAAATACCTTATTGTCCACCTGAAACATGGGAATAACCAACACAATCCATAAAATATTAAAATCGAGAAGCCAAAATTCTGCATTATCTAGTCGGCTACGCTTCAGCCTTCAGCGGTGTTTACTTAGCTGTTGTATCTACACGTTTAGTGAAGCAAGTAAGATTGTTTAAAATGTCGGATATAGTGACGAAAATATAAGTGTTAATACAGAAACGTCAACGAAAAAGCTCAAAAAAGCTGCCAATGCAAGCGGTATATGTGCTTTTAGAATATTTCTTTCGCCGAACAAAGTGAGTAAGGACCGATTCCACCGTTGTGTTAAACGAAGTTTAAAATGACATTTTTACATTAACAATGTCATTTTAATCTCCGTTTAACACAACGGTGGAATCGACCCTTAATAAGACAATTTAATAATATTGGACGTGAGAATAGTCGTGATACCCAAAATAGTTACTTATCTGGCCTTATCTCATTATGACCTGTTTTTCGACGAAGGCCAAGGCAAAATGAAGAAGATGCTAGATTGTATGAAATCTCCTACAGCTACAAAGTAAGAGTTATTAGGAATGGTAGAGCAGAAGAGGTGCCAGTATGTTTTAAAGCATTTCAATCACTTTTTGGAATTAAAGCCTTTCGATTACACACAATTAAAACATCTTTAAGAACAACTGGCGAGCCGCCGATTGATGGAAGGGGAAAGCATACCAATAGACCTCATATAAGATGCCTCAACAAACCCGTGAGTTGTTATTGTGTTTTACCTGCTTATGCAAAATTGTCCTGCAAAAAATATTACTAATAATATTATGTAATAATCAGAAATTCTCTTCGATATTAGGAAGTTTTATATATGTACTCCAACAAAAACATCTAAAAAAGAAATATCACAGCGGTGTTTGACCTAAATATAAGTATGGGATATTTAATATTTTTAAAGGCATATCTACAAAACATATTTATTTTTCAAACCTTAATAATTTGTAAAATGTAGATTAATAAAGACATTTTCATAATAAAGACGTAAAAAAGTCAATATTGTTTTTTAATACATTATTGCTTTGATTTTTCAAATGAAATCCCTTTATAAATTATCCCAAAAATATTTTTCTATGTTTATCCCACCCAACATCCAATTTTAAAGTAAAATTTATTCACATTATTGAAGGTTAATGATAAAAAAAAAATGCAAACTTCTCGCAATAAAATAGCAATTCGTTAAAATGAGAGAAATGGGTAAATTTAGATATGGGTCCTATGATTGAACGTTTACGTTATCCGTAACGTACATGTTAGGCCGAGTTTTAACAGTAACGAGGCAAGTCCGTATAATGGAAAACTTTTTCCAACACATTACTGTTATTTTACGCCTGTTATGTTCTAATTTAACAGTTTTCCATCATACGAACTTGCCTCTGTACTGTTAAAATTCGACCTAACATGTACGTTACGGATAACGTAAACGTTCAATCATAGAACCCAATACCTATGCATTCCTAATACATTATCGAATACCTATGCAAATGAGAATTTATTATTTTCTTTTCTATGCCCCTTTATGATAGTACGTCACTGGTAGACCGGAAACACTTGTCGCCATATTCGTCTAGTTCACTGTCAAAATTAGATACCATCGCGATTCCAAGGTCGTTTAAGATTCCTCCTTCCTGACTATACAGGGTGTTTCATAATATATGCGCAGGACTTGTCCAAAAATATGAAAAAACGTTTCTATTAACTTACCCTCTAAAATGCACCATTTTCGAGATACAGGGTGTAGAAATTGAAAAAAAAAAAATTCTACGCCATTGGAAAAAGTACGGTTTTGAGACGCCCATTTGAACCGACAATGTTTTCTACACAAAAATGATACTCCTGGTCATATGCTCTAAAGTCGACCGTTTTCGAGAAAAATCAAATTTTGTTTTTATTTCCAAAAATTGACCATGTATTTCAACATTAAAATTTGATTTTTCTCGAAAACGGTCGACTTTAGAGCGTATGACCTAGAGTACCTTTTTTGTGTAGAAACCATTGGCGGTTCAAATGGGCCTCTCAAAACCGTACTTTTTTCAGTGGCGTAGAATTTTTTTTTTCAATTTCAACACCCTGTATCTCGAAAATGGTGCATTTTAGAGGGTAAGTTAATAGAAACGTTTTTTCATATTTTTGGACGAGCTATCACGTCCTGAAGTCCTGCGCATATATTATGAAACACCCTGTATATATTCTAAGCTTTCAATAGTAAAAATCAAGTCATTTTATAAACGTCATAATTTTCGTTTACTCCAGCAAATCTTAATTTTATCTACCTGAATTACTATCAATTTGACATATCTATCAAGAATTGCAAAATAATTAAAATAAAAAGAAACATTCTTACCTTTTGGAGTAAGTGTGAAAGCTAGAAGCCGTAAAGTAGGTTGTAAATTGACCAAATGTTAATGAAATATTTTAAATTAAAACATCAATCTGTTCTTATACTATTTGTTTTAAATTGATATATTTTTCCAAACTACGAAAATAGAGAGAATTGTCACTTCATAGTGCAGTTTCTAAAGTGACGTTGGGAAACAGTAACATAGTCTTCGCAACACAAGGCCACACAAAGGCCTGACAACTGAGCTTCCAAAATTTAAAAGAAGAAGACTTGCCATACATTTTCAAAAAATTCCGTGAGTGTTTACCAAAAATATAAGAGGGATCAAATGGAGAAGATTTATAGAGGTTAAGTAAATTATACGTCAATGTCAATCGTGTATTTTGAAGGAAATTCAAAAGTTTAAATTTCATTGAAATTTTAGAGTGTATATTTTGTTCAATATATTATTATACCTTTGCGCCGTTGACTCTTCTATAAAAAAAAATATGAAATTTCATATTCTTACCTTAAACAGAAGAGCACCTCGTCTAGGAGTTTTAAAAGATGTCGAGGACAGACCTAATGTGCAAATAGAGACTCCAGTGGCGCTTTTACACACCCAAGGGGGTCATATACCGCACGTTACACACGAAGTGTTTAAATTGGTGAGTAATGAACCCCAAATATTACAAATATCTTTGGTTAGTATGCACTGTTTTCAAGAAACGATGGAGTATTATCACGGGGGTATTTCAGAGTTTATAGGTAGCAAAGACAGTTTAACTTGTCTCACATTACATGATCCCAGTAATATTACAAAACAAGGACACCACGTTAAAGACAAAATCCCTATTTGGACCAAGCATGGGAAGGTAATTAATCAAAATATACTTAATATACAATATTGCAGGTTTACCTTTCCAGGTATTATATAATTCGGAAATGTACATGAACATTGTAGAGCATTTTAAACCTGACATGTACTATTTGTTATCTGATGGTGACACGAATAAAACTAGTCCACAAAAACGTATATCGAAAGCTGTAGAAAACACGATAAGTTTTAGCAAGCAGTGCCTTGAAAGACACAAAAAATCGCAATTATTGAAAAACAAATTCGTTATGGCCCCCATAGCGGGGGGATATTGTGTTAAAGCTAGAGATAAATGCATCGAAGCTCTTTTGAAAGAAGGGGATGTCTTCAGTGGTTTTTTGATAGATGGGTTACACAATAACGGCCCTGAAGTTGAATTTTTACCTTTTGCAGAAGTTAAAGGTACGTAAGTTGTCTTATTTTATGTCCTAACCTAAGTTTTTGCACAAAAAACATACTTTAGGGGAAGAAAAGAGGTAGGTAAGCCCTAAGTTTTGCTTCAAAGCTTGTTTTTAAATTAGGAATAATTGAATGTGTCAGTTTATTTATATTTTGTAAAATTGAGTAATTTATTTTTGGACACCAAATATGAAAAGGGTTATACCATCGCTCTGATACCCCTTTTATTAGTAATTCTCAGTTCTTACAAATTAAATTTTTTTCGGTAAATGCATTTTACCTTTTTATTAAATTTAAAATTCGCTGTTGCTAGGTACAGGCTAAAGTGTACACAAATCAAAAAAATTTATACACGCGAAACGTCATATTGCTGTGGTGGGAGGTGTTTGTTTTCATTTACACCGTGACTAGCAGTAGTATTTTATAAACCTTAGAAGCAAATTTCACATACATGAACAAATATCGGAGTTATGTTACATTAACGGAATCATCTCTTAGGGTCAATGTTAAAAATTTTTGGAAATTTGTTAACAGTAGAAAAGGCAAAAGTAATATACTTTCAGTAATGCATTATGATAATACCACTAGTTTCTCTGGCATGGAGATTGTCAATTTGTTTGCTGAGTATTTTTCTAAAACTTATAGTGATTAGAATTATAATTGCAGGATATGTTGCCTTCTAATGACATCAACCTATCACAATTTTGTATATCTATCTCATCAATCTATGAAAAACTATCAAAATTGGTATTAACAAAGGGCCAGGCTCTGATGGTCTTCCACCATTCCTTATTAAACACTATAGCTTTTTGTTCTCCAGACCCCTTTTTTATATCTTTAATCTTTCTTTAAAAAACGGGACATTCCCAGCGTATTGGAAAACAAGCTTCATTACTCCTATACTGAAATCCGGAGATAACTCACAGGTTGATAACTATCGACCTATTAGTATATTAAGTTGTATTCCTAAAGTATTTGAGAGCCTTGTTTGTGATTATTTATTGGCTAGTTTAAAAAGCTGTTTTATTAATCAACAGTTTGGATTTATTTCTCATCGTTCAGCAGTGCTTAACCTTTTAACATTTACTGACTATCTCTTGGAATCCCTAGAGGACGGTTATCAAGTACATGTTGTGTATATAGATTTTAAAAAAGCCTTCGATAGGGTTAACCATAAAGTTTTAATTAATATATATCTCTTTATTTAGTCAAAAAACTAATTCTATTTACATATACAGCATACATAGTAATAAAAAAAATAGTACAAGTACAATAATAATTTTTACAAATTAATTCTTTTCACATATATGGTATATAAAGTAATAAATAACACAACATGGGGTTTTTTATAAAAAATACATTACACATAAACGAAAATTAAATTTAGAAGTAAACAAATTTACACTAATATACAGGGTGGCTCACGCTCAACGGGACGGAGCTTTATGGGAAAACGACCAAAGATATAAAAAATTCGTTTGGGAGGAATACGTAGGTTACAGACGGCTACAATTTAAAATTTGTTAGATGTATACAGGATGTCCCACATAAGAAAAAAAAAAATAGTTCATTAAAAATTATTCAAACAAGAGTAAACAATTAATTTCTGGGAGACTTTTTTTCCTTAAAAATTCAAATAAATCGAAAACTAATAATAATAGTAATAGGGAACCTTTAGTTAACTGACATTATTTTTGATGTAGTTTTTAATTCTAAAATAAAAAACAGGGTGTTCCATTAAAAATAATATAACTTTGTATATTTTCTCTTATGTGGGACATCCTGTATACATCTAACAAATTTTAAATTGTAGCCGTCTGTAACCTACGTATTCCTCCCAAACGAATTTTTTATATCTTTGGTCGTTTTCCCATAAAGCTCCGTCCCGTTGAGCGTGAGCCACCCTGTATATTCTGACATGGGATAGTTTTTTAATTCTCTTTTGAAAATATTTACTGACGAACTTTTTTTGATATATTCTGGTAAATTATTAAAAGAATTTATACCTTTGTGAAATACAGAGTTATAGGTACTGCTTTTTCTATAGGGGTTCTACTGGGTTCCAGTTGTTGGAGATTTCCAGTCTGTATGCACTCATTCTGGCCTCCCCCTTTATGACTAAGTCAAGGGGTGGGAGGTTTAGAATGATTTCCATAGAGGCTGTCAGTGTACTTCTCAGTGCTCCTGTTATACAAAGGCATGCCCGCCTCTGTACTCCTGAGGGGGTATTGAGGGCTGTTTTCTGGTTTACTTTTGGCCACCAAACAACCGCTCCATAAGTTATCATGGGGCGAACATCGTCTTAAATAATTAATTTTAAAGGCTACAGTTTTAATAACTTGATTTGCATGATCCTTAAATTTTAAATTATTGTCAATGGTTAATCCTAAATAAACAAATTTTTTTACTATTTCTAAATTTTCATCATCTAATGTTATATTTCAACTATCTTCCCTATACCTATTTTTTACGTCTAATATACATTTAGTTTTTTGAATATTAGTTTTTAAGAAATTTGCACAACAATATATATGCACCCTCTTCAGGGAATCATTCATGACTCTTGTACAGTACTTCAGATCACTGCTGCATAAATACAGTAGAGTATCATCTGCAAATAAATGAATTTTGCATACCCCTGCAATGTCCAAAATATCATTTAAATAAATTAAAAATAGCAGAGGCCCCAAAACACTACCCTGCGGGACACCCATTTCATTACATAACCTGTTGGACTTCATTTTGTTGATTTTTACCATTTGTTGCCTGTTGTTTAAGTGTCCATTAACCAACTAAGAGCTGTCCCATCAATACCTACGCTTTTAATTTTCTTTTTTCATCTAGATCTATCTACTGTTTCGAATGCTCTTTGTAGATCTAAAAATACTGCAATTGTAAAGAGGTCATCTTCAATATTATTTTTCCAGTCGCTTAAAACACATTGTAGAGCCGTTTTACAACTATGTTTATTGCGGAATCCTGATTGATACTCACAAAGAATCTTATTATTTTCTAAATAATTTACTATTTGCTCATATACAGCTTTTTCCAATAATTCCAATAAATTCTGAGCTATATTTGTGTTTGGTTTTTTGGGTATATGTACTATAGTAGATGTTTTCATAATAAGATGCAGAGTTTGGGAATTCAGGGGGAACTGCTTGAATGGCTATCTTCTTACCTTACTGAAAGGATACAGATAGTGGGTATTCAGGGCTTCCAATTATTAGGAATTAAAGTATCATCAGGTGTACCTCAAGGTTCACACTTGGGTCCTCTTCTATTTAATTTATATGTGAATGATATTGCATCCTGTTTTGTCTTTGCCCTATTCCTAATGTTTGCAGATGATTTAAAATTATATATCAGAATAAAGAACGAATCTGATTACATAAAACTGCAAGCTGATTTAGATCGTCTCAGCAACTGGAGTGAAATAAATGGAATGGAACTTAATGTTAAAAAGTGCAATCAAATGGTCTTCAGTCGTAACAGAAGTCCCACAGAACAAATAATCTACAATATTAATGGTTGCCCTTTGGAATCGGTACCTCAAGTTAAAGATTTGGGTGTAGTGTCCTCGATTCCAACTTATCTTATGTACCCCATATATCAATGGCAGTCTCAAAATCACTTCAAATGCTAGGCTTTATTAAACGTTGCGCTAAGGATTTTTTAGAGGTATCATCCATTAAAATATTGTTTTGTTCACTTGTGAGGCCCTATTTAGATTACTGTTCATGTGTCTGGTCCCCCACTACAATGTTCATATTCAAGCCATTGAAAGAGTTCAGCATAAATTTTTAAGATTTATTTCATTTAAGGACCACCGTGGTGTCGAAGATATTAATTACTCAAATATTGAGAGTTCCCTTAATATTACCACTCTTTAGATCAGACCAGAGATAACCAGGAGATGTAACTACTAACAAATATCGTGCGGTCGTGTCCTGGTCTGCAGTTGACAATTGTCTGGAATGCCCCGAAATATTAACAAAGCTCTCAATAAATGTTTGTCGATATCTTTTTGCCTGCCTTCTTAATCTATCGTCACTTTCTGCAGACAATTGTCTTTTTTTCAATGGGAGATTTTCAGTAGGAACTGCCGTTTGTTTTAAGTTTCTGCCAGTCTTAGTGGAGTAGTTTAATATCCTCTGCTGTAAGGGTATTTCAAAACTATCCTTCGAAAAATGTATGTAACAAATACAAGCTTAAAAAAGAAACAAGACATAAAATGAATCATATTCAAATTAGGTTTGCAAAAATCATACCATTTTTCAAATTAATTTTATCTTTTCACCCGCAACCGTTGACCCAGGCTTTGGCTATATCTGTTTTCGGAAATCAAAAATACTTAATATTTGTTCCCTTTGTTTTTCTTGAATAGTTCTTGCTGCCAAACACTGCACACCCTGGCATTTTGTTAGTAACTACACACCCTAAAATATAGTAGATTTTAATGTACCAATAATATAATAATAATAATGATATATTAAAATAACAATAATGAATAGAAACTATTTTTTTTATCTTTAAAATACAACAAAAATGTTACATAACCTAACTTTATATCAATTACACTACCAACTTAATTAGAAATTAATTTAATAATACGTACCAATAATTTCTAAACAGGCCTATTGATATATAGAAATGATATTAAATATTAAGATAAATATATCTATAAACTTCTAAACACTACCAGGAAAATATTAGAATAACTTTAAAAGTCGCTTTTTAACATTGGAAACATAGGCAAAACAAAAATATGCTCCGAAGATGACGTCATGCGCAAGAATGACCAAATTTCGTACCGCTTACCACTTCACCTGTATTCTTCCACCATGGCTGTAATTAATTCTCACCGCCAATTTTATCGACTCTTTATCTTTCTCTTCACCTTCAAACGTAGCATAGCTCTGTTTCTCTCTACTTGCCGGCTGATGTATCACATTATTGATATGGTAGGATTTTTCATTTTTTTATTATAAAACTTCTTGTTATGTTCCATTGGGCAATGTGTCATATTGTTATCTGTTTTTACTAAAGAATTAATAAGTGTATGTGTTATATATTAAATTACCTAATAAATTGGGAAAAAATATAGACATTTTTGCATCTTTATTATATCTACATTCATCCTGTTGCAGCTGAATATATTTGGGTAAGTTATAAGTTTTCGTTTAAAATTTTAATTACGGATTTGTTGCTGCAAGTAGCAAAGACAAAAATTATATCAAAATAGGAAAGCCCAAAAGTTGCATATCATTTAAAGAATATGCTCATATATTTGTAAACATTATTTTTAGAAATAAATTTAATTCTCAAATGATAGATGTGGTATTTGATCATTATAAAGGACATTCTATCAAAAATACAACACGTCAAAAGAGAGGATTTCAGAAATCAATTGACATAGAAATTGACGGACCCAATATTCCACTTCGCAACAATAGAACTTGTTTATTCATTCGATATTTAACAAAAGACGTTTAACACATTTTCTGCCAGAGCAACTTCTTCAAAACTCCATTCAGCAAAAGCATATTCAATTTCTAACTAGTGGTGGATTCGCGAAAATCAATAAATATGGGAAGAATTTTGAACCATCAAAAGGCGATTTTTTAAATTCAAATCACGAAGACGCTACTATTCGTATCTTATTGCACATATTGTCAGCCAAAAATTCGGGGTATTCACGCTGCATTATTTATTGCAACGATACAGATGTCTTATTAATTTATTTTAAGAAGTTTTTGACTAAAGATATATGGTTCAGAACAGGGCGAGGAGACTCAAGACGATTTCTAGCAGTACATTGTTTAAATTTGGATGAAAATCTTCTAAAAAATGTGTATGCTTTTCATTCTCTGACCGGTTGTGATACAATCAGCCAATTGTCCGGCATTGGGAAAAGAACCTGTTGGAAAACCTACCTTGAACACCATTACTTTTTGGATGGATTTGGTACTGATCAGTACTCTGAAAACATATTCTCTAATCTTGAAAGAATTTTCATAAAAATTTATTCAAAATTGCCAATGTTACTTCCATTAACATTTTGAGGGGATTATTGGCCTCTTCAAAAACCATCGCTAAATTGCCACCGACTGAAGACGCCCGACGCCTACATTGTTTAAGATGTTTTTACCAGCTAAATATTTGACTAAGCTCTTTAAACCCAGATGCAGCTTCCTAATGTTGAAGAGTATGGATGGAAAATAGATCAAGATGGAAGTCTGATACCCACTTTTAAGAATCTGCCCGACCTGCCACCAGACATAACAGAACTTACATCATGCAAATGCAAAAAAGATACTATACAATAATCTAACAATAATATTCTGTTCTAGACTGTGGAAGCAAAATTTGCAAATGCAGGAAAAACAAATATTTGCTGTATCGGTTCCTGCACCTGTATGGCACAGAAAAACTGCAGAAATAGTTTGACCACAGCCGCTAATGTTTTGGAAAATGTTGATTCGTGTGGTGAATCTGCTTCTGATTAGTTTGAAAGTTGAAATTTTAATATTATTAATTTATGCTCTATATACTTCCTTCCAAATATTATTATAATTTATTTATATTGGGGATTTATTGTATTTTGCAAAGCAATAGCCTTACTGTTTATAATTGATACTTCAATAAATAGTTTATATTTTCTTATTTTTCATTTTCCACCAAAAATAAAAAAAATCTTGAAGTAATTAATACACCCTCTTATTCATAGTGTATAAATCAATAATCCCTGTATAAAATAATATAAGAGAGTCAAACTGATTGCATACATTTCAAAACTGAAATAGATGCTTAGAGAGTCGAGAGGCTCTGCCTTTAATGTTTGCTTTCTAGTAAAACCATGACATCACTAATTGTTTATTGCTATATTTTTGTTAATTTAAAAGCAAAAAATATGAGGAAAGTACTTTTACCTTGTCAATACATAGGCGAAACTTTTATAACGAATCGTTTTTTTTTTTTTCATTTAGGCCTTCGTTTTTCGTCAAATGAGAGGTATATTTCTAAAAGCAGATTTTTTATACAAATTTGTAGACGGTTGAAACCGAGATATTGACGTTTAAATTTTTTTTCAACCATAAGGGCTAATGTAAATGATTTTTTTTTTAAATAATTATAAAAAAATACTTCCTACAAAGACCTAATTGAGCATTATAACCAAAAATAGGCATTTTTAACCAAATTAGATGTAATTTCACTAAATTAGATGTAATAATTTTCAACAAATTCCAAAACCTAGTGATGTTAGATTGGAAGTGGCAACAAGGCTTACACCGGCATGGAAATTTACGTTATGTAGTATAAGCTCGCGCAGTTATTCATTGATAAAACTACGTAAAATTCTTCTCTCTATCCCTTCTCTTACTTTTCACCTTTCGACGCCTCGCCCCGTGTCTAGAAATAGAATGTATCCAGTGCGAACTATTGTTGGCACCACGAATATTATATGTTATCAATGAGTGCTTATATCTCTGTTATCTCTGGATCAGACGCATGCACAAGGATCTTACCACATTCTACAATATACTACACTCGCATAGCTTTAGTCCAGAGTTATTGGGAAAAATCAATATTCATGTTCCTTCGAGACAAACAAGGCTTATTCAACCCTTTAATATTAGACAACATCGGACTAACTATGGATATAATTCTTTTCCATCAAGATCGGGTAGATTTGCTAATCAATATTCTGATAGATTGGACTGCTTTGATAATAAAAAAGTCTTTAAATCCCAGCTTAAATCATGCATGTGATAGTTTGATGTCTAAATAATTTAATTTAACTTATTTACAATTGTTATCCTGTTTGTTTTATATTTAATTTTTTCTTGTTTATGTTAATTTTATGCTAATGTGTATTTCTTTGTTTTAACATTCTCTAATTGTAGGTTAGGTTTTAAATTTTCCCTTTTATTGAACTGTATTTTAATTGGGCAATTGCTCGTTGATAGATAAATAAATAATAATAATGCCGTGACAACAAGAAAATGAAGCAACGACTTCTCGTAGGGTGGCGGCTCGCCGCCACCAGAAAATTTCAATCCATACCTAGCTACGCCGACTGGCATAAACACCAACGGCCTAGACACAGCTCACCTACTCTGTCAAGATGTTTCGCGTGTATATAACTTTTTGAATTTTTTGAATTGCGTACAAGTTAGCGTGTACCTAGACAATGTGTTTAAAATTTGCTCAAATTTACTTAATATTTAGTAGCATTTCCGAGCCCCTTTTTTTGTTGTATTATTAGTGATAATTTAATGTGTGTTCCACTGAAATTACATTGTACTGAAAAAATATAAAGAAATGTTTTGTCATTATTTCACTAAAGCAAGATATTCAACTTTTGTTTGAATTATTATTATTTTAGAAATGAGCAAAAACTTTTATGTAGCTTCACTGAAAATCTTTACAGGTGTGGTCAACTATGTGGTAAAAAAGCTACCAGATGAAAAATTGATTTCAGTACAGGGATGTTGGAACCCCCTAAATGTCATAAAACTGGTGCAACTGGGCATCGATGTGTTCGACACATCATACTGTCGCATTTTAACTGAACGTTCCTCAGCATTGACTTTCAATATCGAAGAAAACGAAGATGAAGAAAACTACGAAATCAATTTGAGGGATTCAAAGTTTTCGGAAGATTTCAATCCCATTTTCGATGTGTGCAAATGCCTGGCTTGCACTAAGTACTCCAAGGCATACATACATCATTTGTTGACTGTACAAGAGTTGCTTGCACCCGTTTTGATTATGATTCACAATATTCATCATTATTTAAGGTAGCAGTTTCTACAGTTTTAAATTTTTGCGGGAAATAACATCCTGCAGGAAAGTACCCCTTGAAGTAGCCAATTTAAAGCGAGTTACTAATAATAATCAAAAAAGACCGGTACTTACCATTAGAGTTGAAACGGATTTGGTCATTACTAGTTTATTAGAAGTGATGTCATAAACAAGCCCTTCATTACGTAATACTAATAACCAGTAATTCTCAAGAGTTGTTTTCTAAATGTCATGTATTATATGTTGATATATGTTAACCTCTACTCTAAAGAGGTTGCTTATTTTTTAAAATGCCTACTTGTTACATTTTACATTCATTACATTATGAAAAATGTGTGTCATTAAATGATCTTGCAGATACCTAGGAAGATGAAATAATAAGATATCGACCACCAAATGAATTTGAGAATAATTCATTTTGATATAAATTCATCCTCTTTAAGTCCATCGTCTACTATAAGGACAAATTAACTATTAAATTATATATCTAAAATTGCATTCTGAAAACCAAATTACCGGTTTGGTTACTAACCAACCAAAATAAAGCAGTCATAAAATTATGGTAGTTCAGTTTAACATTTGACATAAAATGGTTAAGCCAAAAATCACCAAGGGTCTAACAGTGGTTAAAACCGTTTATAACGCTTTAAATTGGCTGTTATGCAGGAAAGTTCATTATTCAGTAATAAATAGCCCAAGCAAAGAATTCTGTTAGTATTTTATGTAGCTACTGTTTCCGAGGGTGCTCAACACAAAAAGAAATTAAAAAATACACTAATGATACGAGAAGATATGAAGTGCGTTTGTGTTGAGGTGAATGGACTGTATTGGATACATTACTTATTTTTGATTTTTTTTTAATTGACCATAAACAGTTAAAAAAGTATCAACTTAGGATTCACTCTGTATATTTTATGATTTGGTTATATTTGAATTTTCGCGCTATTTGCACGTTGACCTTATGTGCCCGAGTGCTGAGCAGTCGGAAGAAGTGGGATCCACTTGCTCTGAGAACGCTACAAAATCAAGAAGCGCTGTGCGTTTCGATCTGTATCTATGTATATGTAACGTGTGGAGGGTGGGTTACCCCCACGGCACGTAGGCCTCACTAGGCCCAATGTGCATCCTCTTAAGACGACAGGCATCTCCTAGCTCGTGAGCTAGCCTACAAAATGTAGTTGATAACGTGGTCAAGAGGTGCTTCTCTTATATCGGCCGGTGTTAGCCGATACTCGCCGAACACAAATCTCTTAATAAATGAGAGCGTCGAGCTCGATGGTGTCATCTTCTTCCTCTGCAGAGTATGGATTCTGACAGCCCCATGATATGGAGATGCTTCCGTACTTGGCAATGACCAGTCAGAATGCCTGTGACTAGGCGCAGATTCTCTCTAGTCATAGTCAAGTATTTGTTTGCTGCAGTGTTGTCAGGATAACTTAAAAGCTCCCTGGCAACTCTGCAGTTTCTTGTTTTATCCCATCTTTCCTTGAATTTCACAATGGGAATGTTATTTAATTAGGTCTGTCACTAACGATTTTGTCAGGCCAATAGAAGGGCTAGGTCCAAACAGTATTTGGTTGGCTGCTTTCTTGGCCAGTAAATCGGCAAGACGGTTACCTTTCGATGTGACGTGACCTTTGATCCATCTTATAAAAGTGGAAATAAAAATAACAGCTAATTACAGACCTATTAGTCTTATAAACAAATTTGCTAAAATTTTTGAAAAATGCATTAAAGTATGTTTGTATGGCTATCTACACAAAAATAACATTCTCAGTGAAAAGCAGTTTGGGTTTAAAACAGGGTTTAGCACTAACGATGCAATGTTTGAACTTGTTAACCGAATCAAACTTACTTTGGATAAGGGTGATAAATGTATTGCAGTGTTCTTGGATTTAGCAAAGGCATTTGATACAGTGCCTCATCAATTTCTCCTTAATACTTTACAACAGTATGGAGTGAGGGGCACTGTATTAGATCTTTTCAAAAATTATTTGTTAAATAGAAAACAAATAGTGAGAATAAAAAATATTTTAAGCGAACCGGAAATCGTTCAAATGCCCCAGGGAACGGTTCTTGGTCCAATTTTATTTATCATTTATATCAATACTATGTTAAAATTACAAATAATTGGTGCAATAATCTCATATGCAGATGATAATGTCATTGTATTCCAGGATAGTAGCTGGGAAGCAGTCAAAGAAAAAGCCAAAATGGGTATAAGTACTATTAAAAACTGGCTTGATTTTCATAAACTATCTTTAAATGTCTCTCAAACCTCCTTTCTAGCATTCACGTTAACTAACGTTAACAGGCCTTCTTTCGACTTTAAAATAAGTGAAAACTTTTTAATTAGAATGAACAATACAACAAAATACCTTGGTATAATAATTGACCAAAATTTGAAATGGAGTGAGCACATTCAATCATTTACAACCAAGGTTAGAAGATTTATTTTTAAATTTTATGAGTTAAGGAAATTTATGATATTTATTTACAATTCGTTGGTTGAATCTATTTTCCGATATGGTTTAATATGATATATGATATAGCACTTCAACCTCTTAATGTAATCCAAAATCGTATCGTCAAAATTATTTACAACAAATCGACATTATATCCTACCTCTCTCTTATATAACAAACAAGTGCTTAATATAAGAACATTATATTATCATTGTTGTTGTACTTTTATTTATAGAAAGCCTGAACTGAGACATACTGCAAAGCACTTGCACAACACAAGATCCAGATTAAATGAGAATCTGAGAACTCCGGCAGTTCAGCGAGATGCAAGTCAAAGAATTATTTCACTTCTAATATTGGTGCATATAGAGATGTGCTCTAGATAATTTTGTATTCTTATTACTGATATTTTAAAACTATGTATATATACTATAAGTATAAATTTGTATATTACTATGCTATTACTTTACTTTAGCACATACAGGGGCTTGCACCTAGGTGCTTTAATTATAATTTGATTATTATGTTAATTTAATTTTAATCTTAAGGTGACCACGTTGCTGTATAGATGAGCATGTTCCTTCCAGGGATATTGTTTCTGGTGATTTCTTTTGCTGTTATGAGAATCCCCGTAGCTCTGTTTGAACTACACTGGCACTATTGCTCACCGCCCATTTTATATTGTTTAAGGGTCTGGAGTATATTCCACATCATGAGCCTTGTTTTGTTTTAGAACCGTCGGTGTAGATATGAATCGTACCTGCCACTTTCGGCTCTTCTATTTATTCTGTTACAACTTTATATGGCTTATGGAAGATATATCTCGGTGAGATGGAGTCCATGTTCTCTTGAAGTAGTGGGAGCGTATCGAGCGCCTCCTGCCAAAAGCCACATCTCGCCTCACCAGATCCTACATCAGATTCTATTCCAACCGTTCGGAGGCGTGTCATTGTCGTCAGAGCAACCTTCTTGATGTAAATATCAAGGGGAGTGAGACAAGAGTGACTTCCATGGCCCTGGTCGGTGTTGTTTTCATGGCTCCTGTTATGTTGAGACATGCTGTTCTTTGAATTTGTTCTAGTTTGCAGATAGCTGTCAATTTTTGGGTTTTCGGTACCCAAACAACCACCGTATGTTAGCATAGGTCTTATGATAGCAGTGTAAGTCCATGCAATGACTCTGGGGGAGAAACCCCAGGTGCGCCTCACGGTTCGGCAGCATTGTTCATAAGCAATGTATGTTCTTTTGACTAAATGTGAGTTGCATGTTAATTTGCTGTCAAAGGTGGGACCTAAGTACTTCACCTCTGTTGCAAAGTTTAATTTTATGTTCTGGAGGTTTTAATTCCATTTTCACCCTTTTCCTTGTGAAAAGGACCATTTCAGTGCTGCTTGGATTCTTTCGCAGAGTATGTTTTCAAAATTTCCTGTTTGCAGAATGACCAGGTCATCTGCATATGCTATTGTGTAGTGACTGTCATTATTGAGGCGGCTGATGAAGGTGTCGAGGACCATGTTCCACAGTAGAGGTGATAGCTACCCCTCCCTGTGGACATCCCCTTGCAACCAAGCCTCTCATATTCACATCTTCTACACTGATTCGATTTATCTTTTAAATTATTTGTTTTGCAATAAATGTTCAAGGCGCTACAATTATCCCATGCGCTACTTCATTCGACAACAAGGCGAGACGTGCATTCTTAATAAGATTCAAATCAATTTTTATATTACGAGCTAATGTCAACAATATATAATCATGTAGTTTGACTTTTTTTATGTAATCATATGAAAATAAAGATTATTATTAGGTTTAGATTCGTGTTCAGCACCCTCGAAAAAAAGAAAAAACTAAACATCTAAAAAATTCTTCCCAATTTTTTGCAAGATCTTTGCGCGCTTTATTATGACAACTATTATTGGAAAACGCAATAAAAGTTTTTCTTTGCAGGTTTTTTAAGAAAATTCGCGAGTGCATTGGTAACAATACGCTGGAGAGGCTGGAGGAACAAATTTCGAATCAGTACAAGAAACACCACGATAAGATACTCAATAAAAACGAGGACGAGTACAGGAACGGCTTTTCTAGCGGCAACGAGAGCGAAGAATTGTTGTGAGAAAAAAAAGTTGTAAATATACGTTTTCTTAAAACAAAACATCCGTTTTTCTTGCATAAAAATTTTATTTTTGATAATATAATATAAACAAAAAAAAACATATCAAAGAACAATTTTAAAATTGATAGTTCGCCATGTTTGCTTGGTCTGACCAGGCACCAAATCTAGCTCCTGCCATCTCGGTTGCCACAGCATTACCGGGCGCTAATGCATGGTTTCTTCCACCTATAGGAGCTCCACATTCAGGACACCTAGAATATAATTTTATTAATATAACAACTGTAGATCACAAGAGAATATAACATGATAAAGCTTAATTTAAATAATATATACGCTAAATTGAGTCGGTAAATACCAAATTCTTGTAATCATAATTAGGCGTAAAATGATTTTGTATTATCGATAGATTTAGGGAAAAAGGGTATGTGAAAGTTATTTAGTTTGATTAATTTTCATTTCTCTAATTCATAATAGGCTTTTATTTTAGTTTTTTACTTTCCATTAAGCGTAAAAAATAATTTTAATTTGGACTTATAAGAATTTAAAAAATACTTTATGGATTTAATTGTGTTTGATAAATTTCAAAATCAAAGGCATATATGGAACGTACTCAGTTTAATATTTAGTAGTTTATAAAAAATCAATAAGGTCAATAATACAGAAGTTATATTAACAAAAAATTATTTAAACAAAATCCAAAACTTCTTCCATAAGTTGATTTTCTCATTATTATTAGTATAATAATTTAAATGTGTAATTGACATCCACTCTTTACCATAATGTTTTTGGAATAGATTCCGCACGTCATCTAACTTCGCTTGTTCTATAGATATGATGTTACAGTTTTTGGCGAAAATCCAGTCAGTTCCCTCCTTTTTTGATTAAATTTTTGTATGCACCCATATCATTTTTGTATGATATCTCACCACGTACATTAATTCCCCGAGAACTGTTTGAAAATTAGTCGCTTTACATTTACTTATTTCAAAGTGCCAAGTTTGTGTATGTTTTAAATATTCTTTACATTCAGATTTCCAGTCAAATACTGAGATCTCTGTATTTAATTTTCGTATTGTAGCATGATCTGATATAATATCGCAGTATTCTTCAGGCTGAATAATACATTCTCGTTTCCTAATTTTCTTTTTCACAGTATTCGCTCCGTGCGAAGTCATGGAAAGGGAAGCAAAAACGATACGAGCGCTAGCTGCGGATAATTCGTCCATTTTAGGGCGATATTTTGTAATTTTGGTATATCAAATACACGTATACATTTTACTTTTTTTCAAAAAAGTAGGTAAAAACAATACAATAAGCAACCGTGTTGAAAAATTGTACAAATACTAGAAAACAGTGAAACTTATATAAAAAACTTCAGTAGCAAAGTGGAAATTAAATCAAAGAAATAAATGGAAAGGTGTACAATAAGAAGAAAAATTACCTTTATTTTTGTAATACTAACAGTAATGCTGGAAATAGTAGACATCAGAAACTTGAAAGGTTTTAAATAAACAATAAATTATCATTTTACGATGTTCTTTAATATCCCTTTATTCTTAAATGTTCATTCAGCAAGGACCAGATTTCAAGATTTCTGCCTTTGATTATTATATGTGGCTGGAATGCAATTTTGTGACTTACTGAGGGGAAACCAGTTTTAATCATTCATTCTATGTTTTCTTTCGAACAAAAATGAAAATATAAATAACGATCCTTTTTTTATACATTTTAACTTAACTTTAACTGAGAAATTAATATTAAAAAATAACAAAAAATTTTCAACTAGGTTACTTTTTTTTTAATATTAATTTCTTAATAAATTCCACGGTAACCTATATATTTTATTGTAAAAAACAAAACCTAAATATTTCAAAAACCTGATTTTTAGTTTTTTTCTACTCCATCTAATCAATAAATAATAGTATAATTCGAGAATTGTTGTTGAGGTCTTACTTTCTCGTAAGACACTGTACAAAAACTCACATTTTTAAAAAAAAAATCTCAAAAATTTGCACGGTAAGGTATAGTTAAAAGTTCACTATTAGATAAATAAGGACTTCAACTATTAGAAAAAAAATAAATTTTAGTCATAATCTAATATTTTTTATTTAACATTGGTGGCGAAAGGACCTCCTTAAGCCTACCTACGAATAAAAATTAAAAATTTTTCCATTTTGATAAATTTATTAATACCAATTCTTTGGGCAGTGCATCTATCGTTCTGATGGTTTAAAAATAGTAGTGTTGGACGACTACTGATGTATTTTTTACATATTTTTTAAAAATGATCGGTAATTAAAAATGTTGTCTTCTTTTTGGGAAAATTTACTGAAAAAGCTAATCGGTCTTGTAAATCATTAATTTTCATGCAATGCATGTCATTAGCCAGACGAGTTTCCATTATGTCTATTAAAGAATTTAAGAAATAAATGCCTAATTGTAATATATGAAGAAAAACCTTAATCAATAGACTTTTATCGTCTGATGCTTACTAAAATCGGGTGATCGGGTCGGTGGTGTAGCGGTCTAACGCGCTTATATTCATTTATAAGCAAGTTTATGTGTCAGAGACTGCTGGGCTTCGAATCCCAGCCCAGAACATGTGGCTTTTTAATTAAATTGCATGGTTCGGTATAGGATTTGATGTGTGCCCTTTTAATAGAAATTTCTGTTGATATGACATGCAGATTATAAAAAATCGCCATACATTACTGTCTCGATGATGGTGGGTGAGGTTTTCCTCCCCTGTAAGTCAAATGGCACCATCAATCATCTTTAAGTCGCCCCGGAGCGCCACGGCAAATAATAATAATAATAGCCGTCGCTTTCCCCGCACAAGCTCAGCTTTTGGGGTTAAAATTCACTCGTAAGGGGGTGAATTAGGGAGAGTATTATTATTATAAAAAAGTTGATCCAAGGTCTTGTATATCACTAATTTTCATGAAATACATCTTGTTAGCTCGACAAGCACCCGTTATTCCTATTAGGAATGCAATTTAAATAAATAAATAAATACTCAATATTTCTTAATTTTTAGTTCAAACAGATAAGATAATTTTGGACGCTATTATTAAATTTACTCAAAATACTAAAATAGATATTTAACATAATATATATGGAAATTATCAAGTTTAAACTTTCTGTGGTAAAAAAATATGGGTAAAAATGCAGTTTAGAGTGAATCCGCGCATTACTAACATTTTCGGTTTATGTGGAAGTATATGTCATTTGAAGCTTAAAAATAAAAAAACTCTTGGCGGTCACTAATTTAAATAAATTTAATCGCTTTTAAAATGTTCACTTTTTCACTTGCAATGGTCAATACAGGTGATGTGACGTTTGTGTACTAGTTTATTGCGATTGTTAAATTTGTTACAGTAACATGCTATACTGTAAAGTGACAGTAGATTTATTATATGCCGACACTCGAACGGCGGATATAACTATTGAAATTTTATAGAATGTTTCTAGACACTTTGAAACACACTGTACATAACAATTTTGGGTCCGCTGACACTAAAAAAATTCTTTTACCTTAAAATCTTTAAAAAAATTTGTCGGGTCTCTACCATAAAACAAATGTGAAATAAACCATTTTCACTGATTTCTTGTTGTAGAAGCGGCTGAATATCAATATTAGACCATTCATAAAGCAATAAACCATACCAAATTTTTTCATAAACGATCAAATTTTATTTTTCATTTTTAGTTTGTTAGAAAACCAAATACACAGTAAATTAGTTTAATGACAATTGACGTTTCTAGTTTCTAAAAATGCGGTGTTGCCAAATCGAGTAAGAAAACATACTTCAGGAAATAGTTCGGTTAATGAAAGTTGGCTGTTTGGAAATGGCTCCAGACCATACACCGTAGCCGAAAAATTACATAGTGTCTGGTCAGCAGGTAAATTTGGATTCCGAAGTGAATATATTTGCAGTAATCACATACATCCGTCTTTTTATTTGATTTCATGATGATTGTGCGTTAATTACAGCATGTCGGTACTTATCTAATATTTGTAAAAAAATACTTTTTTTTTTCAATTTGAGCTGTGTCCAGGCCGTTGGAGTCTATGCCGGTCGGCGTAGCCAGGCATGGGGTAAAAGTTTATGGTGGCGGCTTCGCCGCTACCCTACAAGAATTCGTTTTGCTTCGTCTTATTGTATATTTTCTTATTATTAGATGCCCACGATAAAGACACGTTCGTTAAAAGATGGAATCGAGGTTAACTGGCCAGATGCTAGTGAGGGTTGGTTAGGTTAGGTTATTTCATTTTGATTGTGCGTTAACAACGGCATGTCGGTACTTATCTAATATTTGTAAAAAATACTTTTTTTTTTTTTTTTTTTTTTTTTTTTTTTTTTTTTTTTTTTTTTCAATTTGAGCTGTGTCCAGGCCGTTGGAGTCTATGCCGGTCGGCGTAGCCAGGTATGGGTTAAAATTTTCTGGTGGCGGCGAAGCCGCCGCCCTACAAGAAGTTGTTGCTTCGTCTTCTTATTGTATATTAATATTGAAGTCGAAGAGTACTCTGCCGATGAGGGTGAGAAAGAAGATCTTGATATGGGTATTTTTTAAATCGTTAGTTTTATATAATCTTCCTGATAATGAAGTCAATTAGTTGGCCTGGTACAACACAGGGCATAGGTAATAATTGATATGGCAACACTGTATTTTTTTCAGATACATGTCACACTGCCAATGTCAATTGTCATTGGGTTCATGAAAATTAGATAATTTTGACGAACTTTAACCGGTCTAAATTAAGAAAATAACTGTTTACGAAAAAATTTGGAATGGCTTATTGCTTTATGGATGGACTAGTATTATTATTTAGCAATTCCTATAACAAAAAATTAATCAAAATGATGTAAAAATTATTTTGAAATGTGTTTCAGAGGTTCTAAAATGGTCTTTAAAAAATAGCCCGTTCGACCGTTGGCGGATTTTTCCATATATTTTTTTAATATTTAGTTTTTGCGTATCTTCTGATAATGGATTCTATTAATGTACATGGCGAAATAATAATGATATTATATTACAAGTGCAGCGTTTGGGTGTAATACCGCAAAATAATAAAAACAAATGTTCAGTGGATAAATGTGGCTATCTTGTGATGACGCCGTGTGCAAAATCGGAGGATGGTTTTCGTTGGAGATACAATGGACACATAAACAAGAGTAACTCCGATGTCTCCAGGCCGTATAGGTTAGGTAAATTAATTAATTTTTAATTTTTTGCATTTTATGTATAC